CCTTTCCTCCTCGCCAAGAGTATTCACCAAGGTTCTGTCGGAGGCACTGATTTCCTCTCTGCTTAAGGGGGATTTCAGTGGTGGCCTATCTGGACGATTTGCTGCTCTTCGCGGATTCAGAGGCTCACTTACGGCAAGACCTGGTTATAGTGAGGGGCCATCTGGAAAGCTTGGGGTGGATTTTTGAATCTGGAGAAGTCCTGCCTGTGCCTTCTCAGAAGGTGATTTACTTGGGCTACACTTCTAAGACTCGTAGACCAAAAGACCCAGCCTGACTTTGAAAAAGTCACCAAGTTGGAAGCCGGGGTCAGATTACTGCAGGGGAGCAGGTCGATGTCCATAAGACAGGCCATGTCGGTACTTGGATTTGCTGACAGCGTCCATTCCGGCGGTTCAGTGGGCAGGTCTGCATATGCGTCCCCTCCAGTTTTGTGGATCCTGAGGGTTTGGGGACAGGAGGTGTCACTCCCTAGAACGCAGGGTCCTGGTGCCCCCAGTGTGAAAAGGTCTCTATGGTGGTGGAGGAGATCGTCCAGCATAACTCAGGGCTGTTGTGGTGCTTTCCGATTTCCGCGGAGGTCACTACGGATGCCAGCCGCCAGGGGCTGGGGAGCCCACCTGGGAAATTTGGTGACTCAGGGGAGTGGTCCTTAGGGCAGAAGGGCAAATCCTCGAATTGGAAGGAATTGAGGGCAGTAGGGGAGGCTCTGCACTCCTTCCAGGCGTGGGTCACGGCCAGCACGTGCGTGTCTGACGGACAATGCCACGGCAGTGGCTTATATAAACAGGCAGGGAGGGACACGGAGCAAGGCCCTCGGAGCCTTAGCGGCGACACTGTTGTCCTGGGCAGAGCTGAATTTGGCGTCCCTGTCTGCGATACACTTAAAAGGGGAGCTGAACCAGACGCAGACTTCCTGAGCAGGACTCGGCTCTGGGACTCGGAATGGCCTTGAACCCCGATGTCTTTCAGGAGATTGTGCGAAGGTGGGGATCCCCGGATGTGGACCTTTTTGCCTCCGGAAGGAACAACAAGGTCCCAAATTTCTTCTCTCTCTATCCCGCTGGGACGGGTCCAGAGCGTGGAGAACGCATTAGGTCAGAGGTGGGACTACCGGCTTTGTTACTGCCTTCCCCCCGGTTCCTTTTGCTCCCCCTGGTCCTGAGGAAATTCAGGACAGAGGGACCTCGTTAATCCTGATAGCTTCCCTTCTGGCCGCGGCGGGCGGGTTTGCGACCCTAAAGAGTTTGGCCTCTCGTCCACCCTGGGAGCCTGCCACCAAGAGAGGATTTTGTTAACACAGGGGCCGGTTCTTTGCCCCAGCGTAGGAGGTTGCGGTTAACGGCCTGGTTTCTGAGCAGCAGCTCCTCTTAGAGAAAGGGTTCTCGCCTAGGGTAGTGGCGACATTACTGGCCAGTAGGAAGGAGGAACCCAGGCCATTATGGTAGGGTCTGGGTTTGCTTTACAGCCTGGGTGTTGACCGGACAGCAGGTGGCAACCCCATAGTTTGGTTTCCGTGTTGGAATTCCTGCAGGCGGGAGCGGACAAGGGATTGTCTGTCAGCACGCTCAAGGGCCAGGTCTCGGACCTCAGTGTGTTCTTGGAGACGCCCCTGGCCAGGGAGCGTGGTGAGTAGGTTTTTCAAAGCTCTGGTGAGGCAGAATAGGCCTCCGAGGTCCAAACCATTTTCCGGTGTGGGATTTGGCCAAGGTGCTCGGGGGGATGACTTAGGGCTCCGTTCGAGCCCTTGGAGTCCTGTCCGATAAGTGAGCTCACCATTAAAACGGCTTTTCTGGTGGCGATTACCACGGCGAGGAGGGTGTGTGAGATGGAGGCCCTCTCGATCAGAACACCTTATCTCCGTATTTTTTTTTTCGGACAGGATCGTTTTCAGACCAGACCCGTCCTTCATTCCTCGAAGGTAGCTCGGAGTTTCCAGAGGAACAGGACATTGTCCTTCCCTCGTTTTTCCTGACCCGTGGGATAGATCAGGAGAGGTATCATTGTTTAGATGTCAGAAGGTGCGTTCTCCAGTATCTAGAGAAATCTAGGAGTTCAGAAGCACCGAATCCCTTTTGTTTTTTTTAAGGGGCTAGAAGAGGCAAGAAGGCGTCTAGAAGGTCACGCTGGCCAGCTGGCTGTGGCTGGCGATTGCAGGAGCATCTCAGGCAGAAGGCCTGGAGGTTCCCCGGAGGTATCAAGGCACACATTCCACCCGAGCAGTGGCGGCTACCCAGGCAGTCAGGGGTTTTTTGTTTTTTTTTTTTTTTTTAGCAGGGGTTTTCCCCCAGGGCAGATTTGCAGAGCGGCAACATGGTCCAGCTGATGACACATTTGCCAAGCATTACAGACTGGACTGGTCTCGTGCAGGAGCAGGACTTTGGTCGTAAGGTCTTGCAAGCAGTTAGCCCGCCCGAAGGGTGAGTACATCGCTTATCCTCTCAGAGTGCTGGCCTGAAAGACGGTAGGGGAAAAACCAAGTTACACTTACGGTAACGTCTTTTCCGGAGTCTTTCAGGCCAGCACCGGTTTCCCACCCACTGTTGATATTGGTTATGTGAAGAAGATGGCTTATTATGATGATGTTGTCTCGCATTGTGTCTCTCCCAGATGACCGGAGGATGGCTTGGAGAACTGAGGTCAGAGGGGAGTGGAGCTTTTTTATTGTAGGTGGAGGTGTTTCCTCAGATGGGGAGGAGCCGAGGTCTCTCAGAGTGCTGGCCTGAAAGACTCCCGGAAAAGAACGTGTTAGGAATGGACTGGCCAGCAATTTTGTGGTGGGACTCACCTGCCTTTTGATCTGCAGTACCAGGGCTGCCAGCGGGTGTTCCCTGCAATCAGAGACTCCAACTTTGCAGCCAGCTAACACCTGTAACTGATGATGCTGGGGTATTTAAGGGATGGCCAGACCCACAGACTCGGCCTTGGGTGTTGTTGTTTTCTCTTGGCCCTGTATCCTGTTCCTGCTCTCTGTTCCTGTCTGATTCTCTGCTACCTGTCCTGAATCCCTGGCTTGTGACCCTGACCATCTCTCTGCTTGACCCTCTTGTACTACCTGCTTGCTACCTGCTGAACCTTGGCTGTGACCCCGACCATTCTCTGATTGCTCCCCCTGTACCTACCTGCCCTATTGATATTGGACCCGGCCTGCCTGACGACGCTTTCTTGTATATACTGTTATCTGTGGGTGGTTGGTTTGGGTTTGGTTGCATTGTGTTATGTTTTAGTATTGCACTGCGTTTTATGTTTGTATTTGTTAGTGTTAATAAATTGTATTGAGTTTATCAATATATCTGAAGTCTGCGTTTTCCCTGCATCAGTCACACACCTCTGGTCATACCCTGGGAGCCCTGACATTACACCAAGGCCAATCCTGACCAGAAGTGGCTGCACAGGAAGACCATCTTGCTTGTTGATGGGAAGGATGGATCTTGATGAGGTTGAGTAATTTATATCTGCTAGTGTTTGATGACAGGGAGTATGCTTATCAAACTCTGAAGGAGTTATACCCGGGATGAATTGCTAGAATGTATACGGCTCGCTCATGTTCTAGAGATCAGGGCACAGTGTTTTCTCTGAGGTGCAGCCACCTGATTGAGGTTTGTGCAGAGTTGGTTTCATCTGGTTCCCCCGAATGCAGGGATGAATTTTTGCCACCATTTAGTGCAGACCAGGTAGAGTCCCTGGTGAGTGGTTATTAGAGATGATGTGGGTTATCTTTCTGGAGTTATTCTTCCCACATGTTCACCACTGACACTGCGAGATTGTATAAACGCAGTGCAGTTCATTGACCAGACAGGCTTTGTGTAAGCTCAGCATTTTGTTCAACCCCTACTGCAGACATGGACAGACTTGTTGCACCCAGCCTCAGTCAGCTTACAAAGACCCAGTCCTGCTTCTAACTCTACTCCTGTATTCCCACCAGCTCCTCCAGTTACAGCCCAGTATACTTGGCTATCTACCGCATGTCAGTACCCGTTCCCACTCGCTGCACCTATCCTGCCTTTAATCCTGTAAAAAAGCCCTCTGTAGCAACTGCTCCCTCTCCTGTTCCATCCTCCAGTTCTTCTCTGTCGCCCGCTTGGCTCCATTCGTTTGCAGACCTGCGTTTACTTGCAGTGCTCCCAGTAGTTAAAACCAGAAAAAAAGCGAAAATTCTTTCCAACCAATACCATCCTGCCAGTATCCCAAACCGGTGAGCCTGCCTTCCGTGGTTCAGACTGAAGCCTCTACTTGGCCTGAAGCCTCTACGCGGCCTGAAGCCTCTACGCGGCCTGAAGCCTCTCCTCGGCCTGAAGCCTCTACGCGGCCTGAAGCCTCTCCTCGGCCTGAAGCCTCTACGCGGCCTGAAGCCTCTCCTCGGCCTGAAGCCTCTACGCGGCCTGAAGCCTCTCCTCGGCCTGAAGCCTCTCCTCGGCCTGAAGCCCCTACTCGGCCTGATGCCTGTACTCTGCCTGATGCCTCTACTCGGCCTGAAGCCTCTACTCGGCCTGAAGCCTCTTACTCGGCCTGAAGCCTCTCCTCAGCCTGAAGCCTCTACGCGGCCTGAAGCCTCTACTCGGTCCTGATGCCTGTACTCGGCCCTGATGCCTCTCTTCAGCCTGAAGCCTCTACTCGGCCTGATGCCTCTACTCGGCCCTGATGCCTCTACTCGGCCTGAAGCCTCTACTCGGCCTAATGCCTCTACCCAGCATGATGAACTGATCCAGCCTGACGATCCTATTAGGCCAGTTGACTCGATGCCCGCTGTTGATCCCAGATGATCCGGTACCTGAATCCGGTGCCCGCTGTCGTGCCAATGACTCAGAGCCCGCTGTCGTACCTGGTGACTCGGTGCCCACTGCCCTTGCCAGATGACGCGGTGCCCGCTGGCAAGCCAAATGACCTGATATGCCTGGTGACCTAGTGTCCGCTGTCATACCTGATGACCCGATGCCCGCTGTCGAGCCAGACAATCCGGTACCTGATGACCCCGGTGCCCACTGTTCCGCGTCGTGCCTGTTGACTCGGAGACCTCTGCCTTGCCAGATGACGCGGTGCCCGCTGTCGAGCCAAATGACCTGATGCCTGGTGACCCGATGCCCGCTGTCCCAGCCAACGATTCAATGTCTGCCCCGGTGCCCGCGGTCATGCCAGTTGACTCGAGCCCACTGCCTTGCCAGATGACGCGGTGCCCGCTGTCGAGCCAAATGACCTGATGCCTGGTGACCCGATTGCCCGCTGTCCAGGCCAACCATCCAATGTCTGACCCAGTGCCTGCGGTCATACCAGTTGACTCGGAGCCCACTGTCGTGCCTGGTGTCCTCGGTGCCCCGCCGCTCCGCCTGGGGGCCCGAGACCTGTCGCTCCTCCCTGAGGGGTCCGGCGCCCGCCGCTCACCCGCCTGAGGGCCCGAGAACCTGTCTCTCCACCTGGGGGTCCGGCGCCCCTCCGCTCCGCCCCAGCTCCGCCTGAGGGCCCGAGACCTGTCGCTCCATCTGGGGGTCCGGCTTCGGCCCGCCGCTCTCCGCCTGAGGGCCCGAGACCTGTCGCTCCTCCAGGGGTCCGGCGCCCGCCGCTTCCGCCTGAGGGCCCGAGACCTGTCGCTCCGCTGGGGGTCGGCGCCTGCCGCTCCGCCTGAGGGCCCGAGACCTGTCGCTCCAACCTGGGGGTCCGGCGCCCGCCGCTCCGCCTGAGGCCCGAAGACCTGTCGCTCCTCCTGGGGGTCCGGCGCCCGCCGCTCCGCCTGAGGGCCCGAGACCTGTCGCTCCGCCTGGGGGTCCGGCGCCCGCCGCTCCGCCTGAGGGCCCGAGACCTGTCGCTCCGCCTGGGGGTCCGGCGCCTGCCGCTCCGCTGAGGGCCCAGAACCTGTCGCTCCGCCGGGGGTCCGGCGCCCGCGCCGCACCGCCTGAGGGCCCGAGACCTGTCGCTCCTTCTGGAGGTCCGGCGCCCGTCGCTCCGCCTGAGGGCCCGAGACCTGTCGCTTCCGCCTGGGGGTCTGGCGCCGCCGCTCCCCCTGGGGGCACGATTGCCTGTCGCCCCGCCTGGGGGCACGATGCCTGTCGCGCCCGCGCCTGGGGGCCCGATGCCTGTCGCCCCTCCTGGGGGCCCGATGCCTGTCGCCCCTCCTGGGGGCCCGATGCCTGTCGCCCCTCCTGGGGGCCCGATGCCTGTCGCCCCGCCTGGGGGGGGGGGGCCCCGCCCGGTGCCCTGTACTTCCGCCCCGCCTGGGGGCCCGGTGTGCCTGTCGCCCCGCCTGGGGGCCCGGTGCCTGTCGCCCCGCCTGGGGGGCCGGTGCCTGTCGCCCCGCCTGGGGGCCCGATGCCTGTCGCCCCGCCTGGGGGACCGGTGCCTGCCCGCTCCGCCCGGGGGCCCGGTGCCTGCCGCTCCGCCCGGGGCCCGGTGCCTGCCGCTCCGCCCGGGGGCCCGGTGCCTGCTGCTCTGGCCCGGGGGCCCGGTGCCTGCTGCTCCGCCCGGGGCCCGGTGCCTGCTGCACCGCCCGGGGGCCCGGTGCCTGCTGCTCCGCCCGGGGGCCCGGTGCCCTGCTGCTCCGCCCGGGGCCCGGTGCCTGCCGCTCCGCCCGGGGGCCCGGTTGCCTGTAGCCCCGCCGGGGGCCCCGGTGCCTGTAGCCCCGCCCGGGGGCCCGGTGCCTGTAGCCCCGCCCGGGGGCCCGGTGCCTGTAGCCCCTGCCCGGGGGCCCGGTGCCTGCTGCTCCGCCCGGGGGCCCGGTGCCTGCTGCTCCGCCCGGGGGCCCGGTGCCTGCTGCTCCGCCCGGGGGGCCCGGTGCCTGCTGCTCCGCCCGGGGGCCCGGTGCCTGTAGCCCCGCCCGGGGGCCCGGTGCCTGCTGATCCGCCCGGGGGCCCGGTGCCTGCTGCTCCGCCTGGTGGCCCGCTGCCTGCTGCTTCGCCTGGTAATCCGATGTGCCTCTGCCCGGAGTCCTGCCCGATGTGCCCTCTGCCCGGAGTCCTGCCCGATGTGCCTCTGCCCGGAGTCCTGCCCGATGTGCCTCTGCCCGGAGTCCCTGCCCGATGTGCCTACTCTGCTCGGAGTCCTGCCCGATGTGCCTCTGCCCGGAGTCCTGCCCGGTGTGCCTCTGCCCGGTGTGCCTCTGCTCGATGTGCCTCTGCCCCGGAGTCCAGCCCGGTGTGCCGCTGCCCGGAGTCCTGCCCGTGTGTGCCAGTCTTTGATATCCCGCCAGTTGCCAGACCCGGGCGGTGGAACATTTTGCCCAGCTAGGACTGTTTGGAGCGTCCTGAGGCCGCTCCTTGAGGGGGGGTACTGTTAGGAATGGACTGGCCAGCAATGGTGGGACTCACCTGCCTTTTGATCTGCAGTACCAGGGCTGGCCAGCGGGTGTTCCCTGCAATCAGAGACTCAACTTTGCAGCCAGCTAAACACCTGTAACTGATGATGCTGGGGTATTTAAGGGATGGCCAGACCCCACAGACTCGGCCTTGGTGTTGTGTTTCTCTTGGCCCTGTATCCTGTTCCTGCTCTCTGTTCCTGTCTGATTCTCTGCTACCTGTCCTGATCCCTGGCTTGTGACCCTGACCCATCTCTCTGCTTGACCCTCTGTACTACGCTGCATGCTACCTGCTGAACCTGGCCTGTGACCCCGACCATTCTCTCTGCTTGCTCCCCTGTACCTACCTGCCCTATTGATATTTGACCCGGCCCTGCCTGACGACGCTTGCTTGTATATACTGTTATCTGTGGGTGGTGGTTGGTTTGGTTTGGTTGCACTGTGTTATGTTTTAGTATTGGCACTGCGTTTATGTTTGTATTGTTTAGTGTTAATAAATTGTATTGTTTATCACATATCTGAAGTCTGCGTTTCCCTGCATCAGTCACACACCTCTGGTCCATACCTGGGAGCCCTGACAAGACGTTACCGTAAGTGTAACTTGGTTTTTTTTTTTTAAGTTATTTTGATTTTTTTAAATTCTTTTTACACTGTCCCTTTCATTTTTTTTTTTATCACTTTTAATGCTATCACAGGGAATGCAAATATCCCCTATAACTTCAATGGGCATTGGCATATATATTCTTTTCTGAGAAATCTGGGGTCTATCAGACTCTAGATATCTCCTCTGCCCTTACATTACCTAATCAAACCAAGATCGGTGTGATCAGATGCTTTCCCAATTTACAAATGGCGCTGTTTATATCCTGCAAAACTAAAGTGATGAAATGCTCGTAGCTTCCGATTTCTTAGACTATAGAGATGATTCTGGTCTCCATTTCAGCTCTATGGTCAGCTGGCAGAAACACACCGGCTGCATTCTCAGGTTCCCCCGATGGCACGGGACTTTCCCGAGAAGGCAGTGGAAGGCAGCAGGGGAGGGGGGGCATCATCTCCTGCTGCTTGTTAAAGCAATCCTGCAGCTAATTAGCCACTAGGATTGCTTTTACATGAAAGCCGATTGCCGGCTGAAAGGCAGCCGGCTGAAAAGTCCGGCTAAAAGGCAGCTGTAGGCATCATTCTGGTATAACCATTCAAAGTCCAGGGATGTACCAGTACGTCACTGGTCCTTGTTGGGTATATATGCTATGTTCTTTTTTTTTGTATGCAGCCTGTGGACTGAATGAAAAAGGAGAACAAATCTCTGCCATTAAAAGTATGTGTTATGCCCACCATTAGAATATACTGCCCTGCATCCACCCACTTCTAATGGTGGGCACACATTAGGTCACACGGTGCCACATGCTCCAGTTCCAAGACTGTACAAATGCCTAAATAGTGGCACGCTTGAATAAAAATTGTCCACGTATAAGTGCTACCCCATATGGAAAAAGGATGACACCAAGTCCCAAACTATCATGCCACTGCTCCCCATGTAGTCTGGGCAGCCGGGGGGCTCCACATGTCTTTTTCCTCGTAAATCTGAAACTTATATGAATAACCTGTTGCCCTCTCACAGGTCTTATACATCTTGACCCCATATCTGGCACACTTGCTGGGGAGAAATTGTTTGAATGTAATGCGGCCAGAAAAATTAATGAGGGACTCATCAACGCAGATGTTTTGCTGGGGAGTATAGACATCTGCAAATTTTTGATTGAGGTAATTTACGAGGGGCTGAATTTTGTGGAGTCGGTCAAATTCAGGGTCACCTCGAGGATGACAGAGTGTATTGTCGCTGAAATGCATAAAACACATTATACTCTCATATCTATGCATGGCCATGGCAGTAGAGAACACGGGCATGTGAAAAATCAGGTCTGTGGACCAATAAAACTGCAATTCATTTTTTTTTAGTAATACCTATGTTGAGGGTTAGGCCCAAAAAAATGTAAATTCGGAAACTGTAATGAGTTTCCATGCGACTGGTCTGGCAAGGTTTGAATTTGGGTTGGCGGCGATAAATTGTGCATATAAAATGCTTTGATCCACAATCAATGCATACAGATCTTCTGTGAAAAACAGCTCCAAAAAAATCAAGGGGAGTAGTTAAATTTGCTGTTTCCACCTGAATTTCAGGTTGGGCAGTGGATGGGGGAAGTACAGGTGCTGCAGAATTTGTGGCTGCCAATCGGGATTTGCAAGCACATCTGGAAGGATACTAGGGGCTTTACAGGCCTGTGTGTGTGAATTTTGGTGGTTGGGGGACAATACTTGGGCTCGCCACCGCACCAGCTTGTACTACACCTCGCCACGTCACCAAGTGATACTGCAGTGCTGGTATGTGAAAGACCAGGGTGTACTAGGCCACTGGTGCTCACCAGTTTACCAAAAAGGTAGCGCAGCACTAGTACTGGCACTCTGCTGCATATGAGAGTCATCACAATTTACTGGCAAGTGCTAACAGAGATCAGGCCTGATTCTGCAAACACTGCGGTTTTGTGTGCAATGTATCAAGTGACAATGAACTACTGACACTGCACTTGCTGGGGGGAGAAGGGGGGGGGGGTAAGCGTAGAGGCTAAACGCAGGTGCTGACAGGTGCCGGGGCTGATCCCGCTAACGCTGCATTTTTGGGGACACTATAGTAATTTGAATGCTGGTATAGTGCTGATCTTATCAAAGATATTGATCCGTTCAGACACTATACTAGCAGTGGAGGTTTATTGTGTATGAACGTGTTCCTGGCAATCAAGGGGTTAAATGTGATTACTGGTGCAATCCAACCCTAACTGGGAGGGGCATGAATACCATGTGATTTTGCGCACCCGTGCCATCCAGAAGCGGTTTGTGTTACAGCGCTGTGTTACTTTAACTGACAATTGCACGGTCATGCAACTCTACACCAAAATTAAATTTACATCCTTTTTCCCACGAATTGAGCTTTCTTTTGGTGGTATTTGCCCCCTAAGGGGGCAACAGCAACTGGACATCTAACCACAGCATACCCTGAATACATGGTCAGTAACTTTTGGAACTTTTTGAAAGTTTGTTTTTTACCATTGCACCTATTATCCTTGAATAAAAAGGTACCTTAAGCAATATCACACTATGTGGTCTCTCATTGGGCACTCTGTGTGAGTGTCATCATTTCACAGTGCCCTTTTGGAGGATAGATGACCCTGATGGTGATACCTGGTAGCGGTTTCTGGTGACCTTTTCTGTGGAGCTGGGATAGTGACTCGTATGGTAACCTGACCCGAGATCTGATGACCTTTCTATAACCTGATGATGCAGGATTTATTATTGTGCATTCTAAACGCACATCTGGTGAGTGCGTTTTTTTACCCATTCGTGTGGCTTGCACCTGTTGTCACTCCCGGATCAGGACGTCCACACACTTTGGAATTGTGATCTCTGATTGATCCACACGATTATTTTGAACTATATATCACGATTAATCACCTTAAGGTGATATCACCTATCCACATTTATTTGAAATTGC